TGAACCATGGATTCACTTCAGTGCAGATCCAACTTGCCCCCCCCTCCCCCAACTGCCAAGGCTGGGATGGTCTATCCCTTGACTGAGGTCTTGGAAACAAAAACTCTCCCTACCACATATGCCACCTCAGGTGATCTCAGAAAAGCAAGTTTTGCCACTGTGGCTGACAAAACCTCATTAGCAGATAGCGTAGGGTGGTACACAGCTGTTCCCTCTGTCCCTCGTCTGGCTCTTTGCAGGCTGTCCCAGGTAGACCTCACTCAAGTGTAACTGCAAGGAAGTGTAAAGAAGTAAGCCTGCTCCTTTCATTCTGCCTGGTAAAACAATATGAAGTTGTCCTTGATGTTCTGCATACACATCTGAGCTGTGCAAAATGCACAGGGTTTTAAAAAGTTGCTACAAGTAAAGGGGAAAAGGGTCTTTCAGGCTGTCACATCACACATGCAGCAGCAGTTAATAATTTCAGTCTTCACATGAGTGCACTGGATTGGATTACGTTTGCTGTTTTGTGAAAATCCAAGGCTACTTCAAGACCCACACAGTCTTTCCAGCTTCACACCAGTGATGCGGAACTTAATTCTGACCCAATTGTCAAGTTTGGATATGGCCAAACCCTTAAGCATCCTCTTTCTTGCTTTTAATGAAAAAAAAGCCAAGTCGATGCAGGCTAGTGTTCTGAAGGGTATAGGTTAAATGTATATTTCACCACTAATCTGCCATGCTAAACCAACAGCAGAAAGAGCAGTTCTCAATCACTTGGACAATAGCTGAAGCAGCAACACTTGTGTGTACACCATTGCTAGAAATAGCCTGTCTGTACGCTTAGCATGCTGGCTTGGGAAGCTTGCAGGAAACATGCTGCAGAAGTGCTGGTGGCAGCATGCAGGCTAAACACAACCTCCTGTGCCAGTCAGCACCTGCCGAAGCCTCCCGCTACGTATCAGGGCAAGTATTGCAGCTGGCGCACTTGAGCAGCAGCATCCCTAGACAGTTTGCTTTCCCCTTCTTCACTGAGTGTAACGGTGAGGGCTTAATTACATACGTAGCATAATCACTATAAAGTGAGGATAAGGGTTTAATTGCAAGTGCACTGAGGTTAAGCCTTCATGAAGCACACAACACATTCCCTTCAAGCGCCCACAGGACTTGTGGGTGGCAGGTGGGCAGGGTGCATTCGAGCCCACACAGGGAAGGGGTCCATCCCACCCCACCACCCTCCACATACCTCTGCGTGGTAAGCGTCCGCACAACGGAGGAGAGCAGCTGCCCATCTTTGGCCGACACCTGCATAACATACTGCGGGCAGCTGCCGGCTGGGCCACCACTGCTGCCACCGGGCAGGGTCTTGCCGTCAGGTGCTGGCAGGCGTGGGTACTCCGGCGGCACTCCTGGCAAATGACTGCAGCGGCTCATCCTCATGGCGGTGGGTAGCGGGTCCCCATCTAGGGAGGAGGGAGGACAGGGTGGTGGGAAGGGGCACATCTATCCCTGTCTGCAACTCTGCCACACTGATCAATACCAGGTGTGAGAAAAAACGTCCCCCTCTCCCCACCCCAGCCCTCTGAGACCTGCTCAGCAGGGATAGGAAGCTTACAACGTTATGTGTTGCAGAAAAACAGCCTGTATGTCTCAGAAATAGCAAGCTGGGGCTCTGAGCTGCTTTTTTTCTCTGCAGACTCCTAAAGTCATGAGTGATAAATGGAAAGAAATGAACATTTTTGTCCTGTGTTGCGTCCCCCCCACCCCAAATGCTGCAAAGAAATATACAGTCTTCACCTTGTATGCTGTTAAACTTAAAGACTTCCCCTGCCCACCAACAGGGAAAGTTATGTATCAGAGGAGAAAGTAGCCAATCAGCTCCAAATCCTCTGTTAAAACACTCCACTGCTACTAAGTGCCTTCCATCACCAACCCACAGCAGAGAACAAACCCAGCAAATAATCCTCTACAGGGCTTTTGTCACACAGACCTGCTTAATAACAGCCTGTGTGCAGTAATAATTCACACCACAAGGTGAGGTAAATGGCTTGCCTGTGTCTTTCTTTGTTTTGCTCTTTCTCCCATCACTTAGAGTGTATTTTGTATGATGGTTGGAAAGCAACGGTTATGCTGGTAACAAAGAGCCTGGGAACTTAAATTCCTGATACCTTCGCACGGTGCTCCTTGCTGGGTGTGCCTGTCGGTGAGAAGAGACTGCGTGGTTCAACAGGCAGAACACCAGGCTATGTGCCTGCAAGCTTGCTCTCCAGATTGGTCACCAACAGCATACATACAGCGTGGATTAATCCCTCTGCAAAAGGGCAGCAAGACTTCATAGCATGCCTTGAGACACTTGGCTACAGTCACATGTAAATGCTACGGGTTACTATTATGATATTCACACGTTGAAATCAGGCACATTTGTCTGCACTGCATTTAACCCTCAAAAAAAGCATTTTGCATCGGACACCACTGTTACTTGTGTAGTACCAGTACTGCAGGAGGAAACAGTGTCTTCAAAAATTAAATATTCATCCACTCTTTTAAACAGAGATATTTCTCTGTGTTTTAAAAGAAATCTCGTAATTTTATGTCATTGGATTTGAGCATATGGCAGTGCTAACTTTCTGAAATCTCCCGAATGGATGTCTTTGGCATTAAGACCTTGTAGCATGTGAGGATGTGATGGAGGTGCTAGAGCACTGGTACCGTGCAAGTTTTCACATAGGAACTTGTATTCTTATATTCTTAGAATGGCATCTAAAATAGGAAAATGCTTTGCAAAGTGTTTGTTTTACAGGATTATTTCAGCTATTTTCAAATAATCCCCCAGAGAGTGAAGTGGAGGCTGATGAGGCAGCTTGCAGAGGATATAGTGTTCAGAGAATGGGGAAGGAAATCAGACTGTGGCCCTCATTTACAATGAAAATGAAGCAAATGGCTGATTTCAAAACCATTAACACATAAAAGATGCAGACTTTTTAAGAGAATAAGGGCCATGGACTCCCAAGGAGACCATGGCATCAGCAACAATTTCGGTTTAAAATCCATGCTGAGACTTTTTAAGAAGAATATTCAGTAGCTGAGTAGCTGCTTCATTAAACTTAAAAAGCCTAGAAGTACCATGCTTACAGACCCATGCTACAGAATTATATATTTCTTTACTGGTTGCTTCACAGACCTCATTAAGTACAACAGCGGGCTTATTGTTGCATATAAAGTGACCATCCAAGCCTTTCCAAATACATCCATCAGCCACTTGATGAGTTCAGAGCATTTGCTGAAGCATCAGATGATGCAACTAAATGCAAAGCTTTAAAGCACACCAGAAATAATGTAGTTATATCCCAGCAATGACGTTAATTCAAATTTCTGCGTACAGTACTGCACTGATAACTCACTTTGGCATCGCAAATACATGTAAAGCCTTTCTACCTCTTTTTTTAAAGAAAGTTGGAAGTTACAACATATTGTCCTGATTTCACAAGAATAATTTTCACACAAAATCAGTATATGTGCACGAAAGTAAGACAATTATAGAATTAAATAATATGTGCTTTCATACTGAACCCTGCAGTAAATAATGAAGATTAATTGTCCTGAGAAGCACAGAGATCCTAAGCAAATCTGAAGTCAAAGCTGAGATCAAGGAATTGTAATTCTTAATATTCACAAAACCCCAAAGTCAGTATTTACCCATACATATGTATTATGTTCGGTCAGAATGTTTTTCACCTGAAAGAGGTGGAAATCTGTCATAAATATTTTAATAGAAGAGGAAGAATGAAGAACAAAAGAAGGAACATATGTTTAGATGGTATTTAGGGGGAGATGCACTATTAAATGGGGGAAGCCAGAATATCAGCATTTATTTCAGATGCCAGAAAATTTAGAGAAAAGTGGCTGAATTTGGCATGATGGATGTATGTTTAAAGAAATCTAGTAATTAGTCCTTTTTTTCTTTACTATGTTACTACACCCACTCCTCTTCAACGTTTCAAGTCTATTCAAAATCTATTTCAAGACTACCTTACTACTGTAATATTTAAGCCAGATCTTTTCACTGTTCTAGTTCTTCTGCTTTGCCTTTGGTACCAGTCTTCTCACCTCCATGACATGAGATCTTCTCATAGGAGGTGGCAAAGCCTAACTGTCTTTTAGAGTGACTCTCCAATTTCAGCACTATATCTTCCAACAGTCGCTGTTAAGTGTATAGATATTGGTATATTTCTTCTCTTTCTTGCACAATTACTTCAATCAGCTATATAAAAATCCCATTTTCAGGGTTGTTTAATGATCACAAATTGAAAAAACCTGAGATAAGAAGGAATTTTTTTAGTATTACATATATGTTCACTTATATGGGTTTATGGGTATCAGAGTAAAAGTAAAGATATTGCATGTATTTTTCTTCGTACCCTAATGGGGCCGGGGAGGGTGGGGAATGGAGGGAAGCTGTTAAATTCTCAGAGCTGTTCTGTGTCCTCAGAGATTTCAAATTCCTGGTGGAAAGAGGTAAGTACAGGTTTTCCTGGTGGGAGGACATAGTGGAACAGCATTCTATTAGTGACTGATTAGAGTGTCCTAGTTGTGATTTATTCCTTGTGCTTCATTCACTGGTTTATGGAGAAAATGTCTCTCAGCGAGCACTGCAAGTCTCACATATGTTCCTGTTACTTTTGTATTCAGTGCTCTGGTTTACAGACATGAAAAGCACAAGTCTCGTAATATCAAGTCTACTCGCTTGTTCAATTCACACAGTTACAGAGGCAGATGATCACAGTCGTTTGTGGTTATTTATGCTATTTCCTCAAAAAAAGTGCAGGCAATACATACAGTTAGTAAATCAAACCTAGGGGAATGAGATGCAGTGTACTCAAGCAAATTATCTGAGGTCACGTTGGAGCTGGGTAGAGATTCAAGTGCAATCTACATCCTTTGCCCTATAATAATTTATAGGATGCTATTCTAGCAAATGTTAGGGATAACTTACGCTCTTTTTTTCTCTCCTGATCTGCTGGCTGCAACCCCCAGTGTTAAAATGTAAGTTAACATCATCTGATTATCTTGCCTCTCTGCCCTCTCCCTGCTGCTTAATTTTTTAAATCATTCCAAAGTCTAGACTGCTTGCTAGGGCTTCAGTGGTTATTATGAGGTGTCTGGAAGTATTTTTCTTCTTGACATTATATGAATGAATGCAAATATTTTAGAAAAGTGGCTTAGCACCACAAACAAATGCCACCAAACACTTGCAATCTTTGTTTCAGAGACAAGCTACTTCTGGGCTTAGTCAACTGCTGATTATTGTTAACAACACATCCCCACTGAGCTCAACAAACATTTCTTTATATGCTGCAAGGTATTTATAGCATATCTTCTTTCCCATGCTTGTATTTCTTTTTAAGAGATTTATGACTTCTGTATCAAGAAAAAACCACAAGACTCAACAAATGCCAGTGAGCAAGGCATTGCTACTCTTATTGAATTACACTTAAATATGAGATGTTAACATTACTGTTGTGAAAAGGAATTTAAAGAAGAATACACTTGCATTTACAATAAGCACCTACAACTGTAATTCTTGTTGCACACTCCTACTGTGCATGAACTGAACTTATTTCTTAAATCCATAATGCATTATCATGCTGATGAGTTAAATTATCACAGTCAACTTTTTAAAGCATTTTTCTGCTGAAGCTAAATGGCTTAGATTTGCATAAGACAAAGAGATCTTAACACTTCACGCAGTGGGTTGCAAAAGTTAAACAAATATGCATGTAGAGATTGTGTGTGAATTGCTCGCTTTTCCTTTTCTTCACCATCTTTACTGAGAACAGCACATATGGCATCTCTCATTGTCATGCAGTTTCAAACCTGGAAATCCATTCACCTTTCTTATTGCATGTTCCCATGAGTCACCCTATTAGTTTCAAGAAATGCAACTCAGGCATGCATCAGTCAGCTTCAAGACTTAAAAACATGCATGAAAAACCACTGCCTTCCCATCAGGAGATATTTTCCCAAGAAATAGTGCATTATTAAAAAACCACAGCCATTATTTAAAAAAAACAGCTTTCAGAGACATATTTTTGTTTCCTATTTATGTGCTTTCACATGCCAGAACATTTCTCTTTCCACTCTACCCACAGCCCAGTGCTCAAGATTAAAATTACAATCTAGTATCATATAGAAATGGCAAACTAGATGTCCTGAAAGCCAGGAATGAAATCTAGACACATACTGTGACTTGATAGGACCGTGTCTCCTACATGGGCCCACGACTGCCTCAGTCTGCCCAACAGATTCTGCAGGTACAAACCAATCTCTTTTGCACAAATTACTCTAGCAGTGTGGCCCCCCAGTGACTTGTGTTCGTGGACAGATTTTTACTTCAGGTCAGCAGATTTGGAGCACAGATACAATTTTGCATCATACTGTAA